GCACGAATGTCCATTACTTGTAGAGTAGATTTAGTAAAATTGAGTATTTACTCATTTTTTTCCTATGGATCAACTTCTCTTTTTAGAAAGTGCTTTAGAGATGAATGAATCATGAAATGAAGAGGTGGATATTTAAGAACTTAGGGAAATTCAGTTCTTCTTATATGAATTACTTCATAGTAAGTGTGCATAGCTATTAGAGAGAATCAACCTCCTTTTGGTTGATCTTTAATTAGAACAAAAGGCAGCACTATAATGGATTTGATGCCGTTGGCAACATTGAATGGTTGGCTAAAAAACTTCCTATATGCTACTAGTCACCCTCATGCCAAGGAGAGGATAAATCAGTTGAGTTGATATTACAGTGAATTGATTAGGTCAATGTTATTAATGTTCAACTTAAGTGATTCAGGCCTTCACAGAGCCAATTTGTATGCCCATGTCATTTTGAATTTTTTTGGCACAGATTTAACCAATTATAGTCAAATCAATCAAGAGAAATCTAAAGCCATTTTAAGATGTATATTTAATGTTTATTTTATTATAAACTTTTACCAACCAACAAAATAAAATTATGATTTGTGTTTCTTAAATAATATCTTATATAGGATATTAAGTTCAATAGAACTTTCTAAATTCAAAAGAAGATCACCTAAAAAGAAATTAGAGTTGATGCATGCTAGAAAATTTGCGGTGTTAGAGTAATTAATTATCGTCTTAGCGTTGCATGAGAATTCAACACGGACTCAGATAAAAGAAAACAACCAGTGGTGACACCAGAAGTTTTTACATGTAAAACCCGTAATAGAAAATACCACGGGTCTGGCTCAGTTGTAAATATTCACTATAAGTTGATAATTACAGAGACCCCTTATTCTATAAGCATAGACATGCAAATTAACTTGTTATAAGAAAAGGGTGGCGACCGATGGCGTTTGGTGGAGGCAGGCAAATGGTGGTCGACAGTGGTCGGTGTTTCGACGCAATAGTGGCAGGCGATGATCGATAGCGGACAGCAGTGGTCAATGGCGGCCGACAACGATTGACGGTGGCAGAAGTGGTGATGGATTTTAACCTCTTCTCAAAGTTTCAATTTCTTTGTCAAGCCTAACACCCCCCTCTCATGAGGGGGTAGGCCTCTATTTATAGTATTTTGAGTGCAATTAATACATGGATATTAACCTCTTTGATCGGACAGTCCAGAGAGCTTCCTTCGATCAAACGACTTTTGAGTGCATTAACGATGTTGGAATTGAGCAATTGATGACTTGCTAGATTCGTCTTGTCAAGACACTCGATTTGACTATATGTTTGCTAGATTTGACATTCATTTAACTTCTAAATATATCTGAAAAACTTCTAAGAGTGATTTAATAACTTGATCTGATTTTGATTTGAATCGGTTTAGACTTATTTAGATCTTATTGGGTCTGTCTCATTGAACGAGTCAGTTTGACTACAAGTTGTTGAAATCGGAGTTCTCAGTGACTCTTAATTGAAGTTTGAATATTTCTTGCTCAAATAATTATCTCAAAATTCATGTCGGAAGATAAAAATTTATTGTTGGCATATAAAAGAGTCATATTATCATTTTAAAATGTTTTTTTTTTTTTTTTTGTAATATTTTCTAATGTTTTCTAATGTATTAGCTCAAATCCTTCTGCCGGACTAATGAATAAAAAGTATTAGTACATTCAGAATGTATTAAAATGAAAAAAAACAGGTCAGATTTAAAAATCAAACCCTTAAAATTATAGGATATATAAAAATACATAGAAAGCAGCGTCAAAAATCAACTTTACCTAATTTTTTGCATCTATATTCTTATTTTGATCATCGACGGCACAAATTATTCCTTTATTTTTTTCGACATGGATTCTCGTCCGTCCGATTCTGATTTGTCGAAGAGTTGACCGGGCCCATCTATACATATTAGGAAGCACCAAACATTGATTAAATGAGCAGGTTTATATATTATATGCCAAATATAATGACAAGACGGAGAACACTTATTCCTTGTTCTTTCGTCCATTTGCAGTGTAGCAGGTAAAGAT